TTTGAACATGTGCACCAAGAAGATAGTTAAGAACATTTATAATATTGTTCATAATAGCATTAAAACTAGAATCAACCCAATTGCCTATGAATACAAAATACTCAAGCAGCAGTGAAAACAAATAAAACATACCCAACCAAATAGGTAAACAGGAACATAACACTGAAGGAAAAAATAGTTTACCTACACTATAAAACATAAGACTCAAAAGCAAGACTAAACATAATGTCCGAGGAATCATAAAATATGTAATAAAAAATATTTTTAATGAAAATGATACGTACAAAATAGAGACTGGAGTTGGGATGGTAGACACACAGATACAAAATACCAGCTAGAGAGTGGCAGAGTAACAAGTACCTATTACATTATTTTGCTTCATAACTTACGGATGTTAACATTACTCCTGTTAGTTCAATATTTGGCTCTCCGCAGCAGAGAATAATTAACATCAAATGAAACTTACATCCAATTCAAAAAACAGGTCTCTTTCTTTACTTGCAATCTCATAATCTGCTCGGAGGGCCAAGTCGTGGATTTTGGTACATTCTCCTAAATCCATGCGCTGTAAGAGAGAAACAAAAATTTACACATGAACATCTACACACTTGTAGAAACCACATGACCTGGTGTTTTAGCTGTCATTCAAAATATATATATATATATTTTAAAGTCTAAACTATAATAAGAAAGTTAACAGAATATGGCTGAGAAGCCTTATTTTACTTTTACCACCATGTTTATATGACACTCAGAACTGACGCATTTAGGTGCAATGATTTATTATCTCTTTTAGAACCTGAGATAATTAGACTACTAATGAAAACCACATTAATTACTTTTTGGCAGTTTTATATTCACATCAGCCACATAATAAATGTCTATTCAGTGAAAAAGGAAGTGGGGAAAGTGGAAGGAAAGGGCCAGGAAATAAGAGTACCACGGATAGCAACAAGTTTCTACACACTCCTTGCAATCTTGACTACTAAAGATGCTCAATGCCTATGGTTCAGAGACAAGAAGAAGGAAAGAACAGACAGAAATCAGGTTTTCACAATCACAGTACAATCTAGTGCCTGGCTTTGTGAAGCTCTTTGTACACCAAAGGAAATAAAGCAGAACAGGCTGATTCAGAGTCAAATAAATCCTCCAAACATTCTCCTAACCTGGTAAATGACTCTGGACACATAACTGGGGACACAGAATTGGACCACTTGGTTGCCCCATGTGATAAAACAAAAAGCTCTTTTACTAAAACAAATTAGTTATCAGTAAGATTAGCCTGATGTGCTCATTACGTGTTGTGAGCATATGTAGAACAATTACACACCAAGGCATACTTCTTATCTGAGTACAGGAACCTATACAGGCACCCCACACACACCCTGGCCTCTAAACGGCAATAGAAAAGTTTGTATGCTGAGGATGATGTTATCAAGCCTCAGAGTACAAGTTAACAAAACCCAACAGCCCAATGAGAAGACACCTCAGAACTCCAAGCTGTTGGACACAAGCACAAAGAATGAGGGAGCCCAGGAACTCCTTTAAACTCAAATTACAAGTGTGCTCAAAACAAGATTTAAAAAAAAAAATCATGTGTTATAAAATCCTTAACATTTTGGGCAAATTAGAGAGGATCGTAGTGCCTGACTGTTAGGCCCTAATCTCACAGGTGACTGCCATGTTCACTAACAAAATTTCCTTCCATATCACTAGTGACAGAGCAAGCTGCCTGTGTAGAGCTTATCTTCATTTTGACCAAGGTCGACTTCTACATGTAAATGTTAAGAGATCTTTTCTCCTTCATTTATGCTTACTTGAAGTCATGTGGACCTTTCGTATGCTGGTTACATGGGGGATCCAAAAGGAGGGAAACAGAGGTTCTAGAAACCAAAGCTGCAACTAGAATTGCCATCCCTGTAAAGCTGACAACTTTTGCTTCATTCACTCTTTTAAGTACCAAACATAATTCTTTGGAAATATATAGCTTCCTACATGCTTTTGTTCTTTGTTTTTCCCATTCTTCCCTCAATGGGCATTCATAGGCTCATGATCAGTGGGTTGGTTAAAGGGTTGGAGCCCAATATATGGATCATCGCTTCCAAGTGTACAAACATTGTGGGTATGAGTGTAACTCTCATTTTTATATATCGTTCTAAGTCTCACTTTCCATTTGTTCTAATTTCTTCATCCATTATTTTTAGATTTTATTTTTGTTTTATGTGTTTATGTATATAGCATGAGGCATAAATATTACATATTTTCAATTTATTAAAAAATTACCTAAGCCTTAAAAAATACATATAGCTCCCACAATGAAATTAAGTGCTACAGTTGAAAAATAAGCAGCTCTCAGAAATTCCTTAAAAGCTAACGAAGGCTTTGTTGCTCAAAGAAAAACCAACACCAGAGGAAGTAAACACCAAAACCCTAAGTACTAAAAATCTAAGTGCAAATCAATTTCCATTTTAAAAACCTCAACTGTCAAGAAAGTTTAGATATAAGGGGACCACACACAAAACAAAATTCACCACTCTCTTCCTTTCGGTATGAGTTTTCAAGTAGCCACTGCTAAAGCAAGTGGAAGATAGGCCTGGGCTTCCACAGTCACTTTCTGTAGGTGGCTTTTCAGCTTTGCCAAGGAGGCAGGGAAGTACTGGCCAACTCCCCTGGCAGCTAAACACCAAATAGAGCTGAAATACCACACTCATTAAATCCTTCCAAAATATTCCAAGTGGCTGTTAAATCCAACTTCCTAATTAATACAACATTATCCCACTAAGCCTCAGTAACATTATAGCTTCCATTCCTCTGCGCCTCACTCCTTCTAATAAGAGATGGTTTTGAGTAAAAACTTGGGCTGGAGAAGCCCTTAACAAGCTGAGGGTTATAACCACTTTCATCTTGCTTGCTGAAGAATTACATTCACTCCACTTCAATTTAACACAAAACAAACTCCTCAGAAGACCCATCGTTCAACTCTACACCTCATCTACTTCCACGTAGTTCAACCAATGAGGCTCAACCTTTATAACATCCTCCATCCAAATTATCAGTCTTTATCTTAATTGGCCCTCAGGAGCCCCTAATACTTGTTCATCTGCATCTTCACATGAACATGGGTCTCCTGGGTTTCCTCTCCCTTCTCAGTCTGAGCTGCTCCTGTTCAGTTGCACACAGGAGTGACTGCAGGGTCCATGACTTCTCATCACTCCTTTGATTCCACAGTGTCTACCTCCCTCTCCCCTCACTCACACCGGCCCACACACACACCGAGACATTCCTGCTTCCTTCTGCTCCATCGATCCACCCAGAATGTTACACCCTAAACCATGCACGTGTGTTCTTTCTCACCGTTCAGGTCTCTGCCTCAACGTCCCTGAGAGGCCTTTCCTTATTACCCTATCTGAAACAGTCCATAATCTACTCATTATTTATTGTCTATCCTGTTCCTCTATTAGATGAGTGAAGATTTTGTCTAATTGGCAACATATCCCCAGTGCCTGGCACATAGGTGTCCAATAAATACTTGGTGAACTAACCTGTACCTAACAGGGATAAATAAGGAAATGCCCTCATTCTGCTTATTTTCCTCACCAGCATTCCTGAACAGTGCTACACAAGGATCTGATCAAGAAAAACGCAGTTGAGATCCTTCACACTGGTCCATGTCCCTCTACTCCCTTCAACTTTTTCCCCTAAGATCTGCTGACAATTCCAGGTTATGATGCCTCCTAGGAGTACCCTACAGCTGAAGTGCTATGACCAGCACAAAGCATTATCTACACTGATGGCACCTACAACAATCCGCAGCATGTAGTAGTTATGTTTTCCTACACAAGGCTTAGCATTCATTTCCTATTTGCTGTCAGAAGAGCCAGCTTTTTTTTTTAACATACTTTCAATTTTTATTATTGTTTGCATACATCTCTCACATAATAATTTTTTTTAAATTTCTTTTGCTTGGTTATTAGTAGCTTACCCTTCAGAAGAGCCAGCTTGAGAAGATTCAGTACACCTGAGCAGTTCTCCAGAAGCTGCTCCCCCAAAATGGCAGTAACAAAAGTAATGATTAATCATGGAAAACATATTCCCTGGCACATACAGATTTAACCTTCAAAATGAGTAGACAATTTTTATATTCCATTAGGTAGCTGTGAAATCTTACAACAGTGGTGGGTCTTTACAGGACTCATTTTCTCTAAGTGGCTGAATCATGGTAGATAATCCTACACTCTTCAGTCTTCTCAAATTCTATCTAATTTTGAATAAATGCACATTTTGCAAAATTAACATTTATCTGTTTGGTTCATCTGATGTGCATTTAAAATTTCAGAAGTCTACATTCACTGGATCATGTGTTGATTTCTTAAAAGGGTGACATAACACGAAACTAGTAAATCAGTGTTATTCCTAACTGATTTTTCAAAAACCTAAATACCTGGGGAAGAAATGTAGCTTGTTAGACGAAAAGTCTAATATATGTTTAACTTGAAAGCAAACCAACCCAGAATCTTGGAAGAACCACAGGGTGACTTGAAATACTCTTTCTGCTAAAGCCAAATGGGACCAGCATTCACACTACCAGCTGTGAACACTTCAGCATAAATGACTCTACAAAAACCTAATAACTTTACAGAGATAATTTTATAGAAATAAAATATGACATTATGTAAAATTTCACCAAACTAACAAAATCTATCATTTGAAGGGCAGCGGGTAATTTCTGCCTGGTAAAGGAAAACAATTCAACCTGAAAAACCTTCCCTGCCTACACAGCATTCACTTCGGAGTGTCTTATGGCACCCCTACCCCAAATGCACTTACCGTCCCAGCCAGGATGTCATGGGGGCAGCAGTCCAGAAGGTGACTCTTGCAGACACGGTCATCTGTAAACTTGACCCTCTGTCTGGTTTCGTCTCCTGAAATTCATTTGTGGTTTTAAATAAGACAATATTATCACATTAACCACAAAAGCATACCTGGTACAATTCACCTGGATGATTTCCAGACTACCAAATACACTGAAAAGCTGATCTAAAGATATTTACAACTGGAACGAAATACAGATGATTTCTGATGCTAAATATATTATGAAGAATCACACTTAATGAGATCTGACTCCATCATTGTGCCAAAGAAGTCAAGGAGTCAGAAGTAAAATGCTGAGCACCAAAAGGCCGTTAACCCCCCACATACATGTGGGCAATGACATACCAAAACCCATGCTAATCAGAGGGCCATGAATCACCACATATGACTTATAGCTGGTAGTTTCCACCAACAAAAGCTACTTATCAACCTAACTGTTTCGCTATGGACAAATGCATAGTCAGTATTTCGCCAAAAATTACTTGAAGAAAGCTTTTTCTACTACTGACTGAGAAATAATCTAGACCTAGTCTACCTAACCCCCTTTCACCCCCGCCCTTAAGAAAGAGGGTTGGCACCTGGGAGTCACTTTTAACAAGACAGTATCAGAAAAAAGGTGGGGGGGGCGCAAAAAAGAACTAGGTTAGTCAATACACACTGTGAGTTCCAACACATACTGTACCCATCTGCATTCTTCAAGACCTCAGCTGCAGAATTTTATGCCCGCTGTTGAAAAGTTTTAAAGGAAAAGTTTTCTTGCCCAACCTGCAGTAAGGAAGTCAGGGGAATGATACATAAAAATAAAGGCAAAGTGGAATGTGACAAATTTTAAAGCTAATCTGTGTATATGACACAGAGCTGTGTAATACTAGAGGAGGAATATATTTTAGGATTTGCAAGCATCCAGGATTAATGTAGTGTCTTTTTACTGAAAATGTTTTCTTTCTAAACTACACTTTTAAAGTTATTTGTGGAAAAAAAAGCAAACACTTTTTTGTTATAACAGCTTAGAAATTGGTTGTGACTCACGGCTCGATGAACATGAGGCTTTTCTGCAACTCCCTTGCAGATTGATGTAGGCAGGCAAAGATACACTGAACCTTTATAAATAAAATAGAGGGGCCACAATTGTTCAGTTTGTATGAAATAAAAATATGGGAAGCAATTCAAAAGCAACTCAATATACAAAGAAAGCTAAAAAGCACTTATTCATCTAAGAAATAAAGTGCAAAGAATCTGCACAGCCCTGCGAATGTGCCAGTGTGAACTTACAACTTCATTACTTCGGTAGAAAAGAAAACACAAACCACAGCAGGTATATAGTTTTGCAAAGATGCAACTGCTTTCTCCTGAGACAACCATCATGATCTTGCACTGCTCCCTACAGTACAACCTACCTAACGACTGCCAAGCGCTGGCTAAACAGAGGCTCTCCTGTGTGGCCGGGGGGAAAGGGGGCTGGAAAAGCACGCGGCAGGAACCCACGTTAGAAAAGCTCGATTTACGGCTCCCCTTGAAATGGTACAGAACAAGAACGGCCAGGGTTTCCAGGCCCATCCGGCTCCCTCGGGTGGAGGAGCTCCGCCAGCCCGCTGCCAACGACCCGAGCCCACGCTGGCTGCAGCCATCGCCGACTCTCGGTTCAAGTGGCGGCGGGCGCCGCGAGGGGCGAAGAAGTCGAAGGAAGGTCAACAGGGAGGGGCTGGCGCCCCACCGACGGAGCGGGCTCCGAGGGAGGAGCCCGCCAAGGACCCCCGCCGGCGGGGAAACCCAGGCCGCG